AGAGAAAAGCTCACAGAACCTTCATTTGCTAATGGGCCACAAATCAAAATGAAGAGAAACAGCTGTAAACATCCATTGAAAATCGGAACATGGAATGTACGAAGTATGAATCTGGGAAAATTGGAAGTTGTCAAAAATGAAATGGAACTTCTTGCCTAAGCCTCTTTAATTCTTATCACTCTTCTTCCACATATGGAGAAACAAGTAGCTTAGATGGCCACTCTTGAGCTTTTAAGATCCCAGGTGCTACTCATCAAAATTGGATGTAAAACATTGTCTGTGTGTACTATGTTATGCCAATTGACCGTGGAGTCCCCTGAAACTATGGTCCTGAATCCCCAGACCCAGCAACTGATGGCCTCATTCTAACTGTCAATCCGGCATGCCCAGAAACCAGGACTGCCCCTTTCTCTGGTGAGATCAGAACCTCGACACATCCTAAACACACTCATGCACAAATTTTTTTTTTCCATTCCCTGTTGGATCCCTAGTCTTCCCTTCTCTGAAGCCCTCCCAACTCTTATCTTCCCATTTTCCCAAGACCCACAGGAGATTCCAGAAAAGTTCTTGCATGCCCTTAAGAGCTGGGGCTCTTCTTGGTTCTGGGTGAAGGACTCAAGGTGGGGTCCCAGCTTGAGATCAACTTGTGTTGCTATTATTGACTGTAGAGAGCTCCCACATCTTAGGCCCTAGTTTCACAATATAAAAAATCACATTGTGTATCTGTCCAAGGTGATGGAAAACTTGGCAACAGATATGGGTGATAGTTGTGCAACATTACTAATATCTTCAATGTCACTGAATTGTTCATGTAAAGAAGGTTGAATCGGCAAATATTTTCTTATGTCTATTTTTACAACAAAAATCTCTTTCACAAAAACACCATGAGATAAGGAGACTGATTGTTGTCCTCTGAAAGTCAGTGTAGCTGGGAACCAAAAAGGCTTAGTAAATTCCTGTGTGTGTGGGATGCTCACAAGAACCAGCACTTTCCAGGTGAGTCACCTCAGATTTGCATTTCTTGTTAGTTTTTGTGAAGGACAAGCCTGCTTGCACTTAGAGAAAACGAGATGAGGATATTGAGCCTCTTAAGCCTGAATTCAAGAGTCTCTAGTGTTTCCATGTGGAGCCCAGAAGAAAAGCCACAGCATTCATTCCCTTCCTCACCCATCCACGACTGATTGTTTGCATTATATTGGACACTTATCACATAGCCTCTTGAAGGATGTGTTTTGTGCACTAATTTTGATAATAGAGACGGCATCTTCTCTTTATCTGGTTTAGATTTTCTTCAAGTTCATAAAGTCTTTGCCACCAGTTTTAGGATGGCTGGTGAAGGCCCAGGTTAAGCAGGTTATTATTTTGATATTGTCTAGGAGGAGACCTATCAGAGTTGAAACTCTGCCAACTTATCTTGGAACTGACAAATATGTAACAGATGCATAATGTTGAGTGGTAGAGTTACAGCCAGTCAATTGTTACCTTTTTTATAAGTGAAGGGACAAGAACTCAGACCAGAGGCCATGTCTCTGTCATATTCCCAACTCCCAGCTCAGTGGGAGTCCCCTGGAAGGGCTCACTGCTTGTTGGTGGATTGAATGGTTGTTGGTATTAATTGCCATCTAGTAGGTTTTGATTCATAGCAACCCTGTATAGGGTTTCTGAAGAGCAGCTGGTAGGTTAAACTGCCAGCCTTGTGGTTAGCAGTCCAGTACTTATCCTACAGCGCTATGCCAGGCTCCCCAGTGGAAAAAGTGGTAAATTCATTACTAGCTAGAGTAGCTACCAGTTTTCTTTTAGAAAAACATCCTAATTTGTCATCTTCATTATGCTTAGTTCTCTGTAAAGTAACTCAGGACAACAGGAGGGATCTGAAGTTCTCTGTGTTTCTGTACCTTGTCCTACTTCTAGTGGGTTCGATCAAGTTCTCTCACTTCCCAGAAGTCTTTTGAGCTTCTTTATTGCTTGGAGATGAAACTGAGAGGAGGAAGGAGGTGGAGAGACCCTGCTTCCCTGGTGACCTCAGCGCTGTTGGTGAGAGGCAGAGGCAGCTACCTCCTGAATCCTGGGGAATTGGCAGCAGCCTCCCATCTGGCCAACACTGAGACTTGCCTTCTGCATCTCTAATCCCACCGCTGATTCCAGGGTCAGGAAGGAAACTATTCAGGGGGTTGAAGGAGCATGAGCTGAAGTGTGGAGCCATGCTCCTTTTCCCCAGGTTTATTCAATATTTAAGAATCACAGGAGGTGTTTTGTTGTATAATTGTAAAAATATATCTAACACAACATTTGCCAATTCAACATTTTTTCAGTGTACAATTCAGTAATATCAGTAACATTAATCATGTTGTGCAACTAGTACCAATATGTGTTGCTAAATTTCCCATCACCATAAACAGAAGTTTATGCCTTTCCCTCCTGTCCTGGTAGTCACTAACAAACTCGAGTATCTATGCATCTGTCTGCTCTTGTTATTTCATATAAATGAGACCATACAGTATTTGTCTTTTAAACCACTGGAGTTTTAATCACCTGCGATGTGAAGGAAGAGGGACAGTGAGGGGGGAGGGTTCGGGTGTGTGTGTGTGTGTGAAGTATTCCTAATGCCTGGGCTGAGATAACTCTTAGCTCAGGTAAAGTTTTCTTGGAGAAAGCCAGGTGAGCCTTATCTGTTACGGATTAAATTGTGTCTCCCACATAAATGCTGTAAATTCTACCCCTATTCTTGTGGCTGTAATCCTGTCTGGGAATAAGGTTTTCTCGGCTATGTTAATGAGAGCGGCTCAGTGCTGGTTGTGTTTTAGACAATCACCTTTGAAATATGAAAAGAGCAGAGTAGACACAAAGAACAGAGCACAAACTGCAGGAAGTTATATACATGATGAAGCTGAAAAGAGACCCTGAGGACCACCCCCACCCCAAACCCTGGATCTTGTGTGATTCTCTAAAGCAATTAAGGTTTGGGCCTACTTCTTTTCCTTATTCTTAGCGATCAGGCCTGCCACAGGGCAGGCAGGTGTCTGGCTGGCTTCCTTTCCCAATTTCTAAGTGGAAGGAGCTTTTGCTAGGAACAGAGTAGTCATTTCATATAGGACCCAGCTTAGCCTTTGCTGAACAACTGGGATTCAGTTCAATGACCAAATTTTACTGTGGGCATTTATTGGAGTTGGGTCACTGTAACAAGGATGACTCTGCAGGTTTTAAACTTGCCAGGCATTCTAATCTACATTCTCATTTCATTTTCATGGCTGCCCCATGACATAGACTGAAGACATTGCTCCTGGCCTCCCAGCATCCCCTTTACCCATCTGACAGAAGAGATTAGGCAGAAAGAGGTTTTCGGGAAGGTAGACTCAAGCCTAGAGTTCTAGTGTCCTGTTTCCTCAGGTTACCACACCTATTCAGCCCGCCTAGCTCCTAGCACCTCGCCTTTCCCCTGCTCCCCACACCAGTGGGTCAGGGGTTGGGAGCTAGGCCCTCAGCTCAGGAGGCGTATCTGGCTGGCGGCAGGGGTGAGTCACGTGGAAGGCCTCCAAGGCCAGCAGCGTCTTGTTGATGCGGCTGATGGTGGGGTAGGGAGTGAGATCCACCTTGAACCTGTGGCAGAGAAACCCTCACCTAAGGCAGGCTGCCCTGTGGGCACGGAGGGAAGCAGAGAGGCATGGCTGGGTGAGCCCATGGGGCAGGGCAGCGGAGGACCAGGAAGGTGGCCCAGGCAGGGGTAGCCTTAATCACAGGTGGTTGTTGTTAAATGCCATCGAATCAGTTCCGATTCACAGCCACCCTGTATAGGGCTTCTGAGGAGCAGCTGATGGGCTTGAACCGCAGACCTTGTGGTTAGCAGTCCAGTGCTTATCCTATAGGGCCACACTAGGATAGCTTTCTGGAAATGGGTAGGTCTTGTGTAGTTGTACTTGGCATTTGTCACCTAATGTTCCTATTCTAAGAACAACAAACCAAACCAGAGTCAAGTTGACTCTGACTCTTGGTGTCCCCAGGTGTGTCAGAGTAGAGCAGGGTTTCCCTAGCTGTTTTCTGAAGCAGATTGCCAGACCTTTCTTCTGAGGTACCTGCAGGTAGACTACAACTGCCAACCTTTTAGCCACAAAGTATGGCAACCATTTGTAACAACGCGGGACTACTCCCGACTCAAGCAGTGGCTATTTACTTAGGAATTATTATGGGAAGGTACTGTGTAGGTATTTACAGAGACAAATTGTGTCTCTATGCCATAGCTTCTTTAGAGGCAGGGAGTGTGACATACATTTCCATGTCCCCAGTATGGGTTAGGTTAATGCAAGGTCAGCAATTCAAACCTACTAACTGCTCCCAGGGAGAAAGATGAGGCTGCCTGCTCCTATGAAATTGAGTTTTGGGTTACTATGAGTCAGAATTGACTTGGTGGCAATGGGTTTGGTTAGTTTTGGTTTTAGTGGTGCGTTCCACAAGAGGTGCTCACCCATGCCCTACTGAAGGGCAGACAGGGAAAGAACTAGGCACAGACACACAGACATGCCCTGTTTAGGGACAGAAAGCTGAGGCTTCTGGGGTAGTTTCTTAAAGGGATAGCACCTCTGCTTAGGAGCGGGTGGGGGTGGGGAGTGGTGTGTGTGTGTGTGTGTGTGTGTGTGTGTGCAGGACCAGGTGGGAGTGGCCTGGGGAGACATTTCTCTTCCATCTCTGTCCTCTAGGCCAGTGTGGCTGGTGGGTTTGGGCAGTCCAGGAGCATCTGCAGGAAATGCTGCCTCAGGCTGAGATAGCGCCTGACTGGGAGGAAGCTGGGCATTTTGAGGGGAGGAGCCAGCAGGAGGGGGGAGGAGCCAGCAGGAGGAGGAAGGGATGAGGCTTTCATTTACCTTTCAGCATTTGCCACCTGAGGCGCCAGACACAGATCAGCCATGGAAACCTGAAGAGAGTCAGACAGGCCTGTGTCAGCGTATGCACCCCTAGTTACACTTGCTGGCCTGTCCACTGGTGACAGGGGGTAGCCTTCAAGGTTTCCATCTTTCCAGGCTCTTCCATCCCATCTCGGCTCCTTGGCCCATTTTCTCTAGGCCTGCCTGGGTCTGCCCTCCAGAGCAGAAGCTTCTCTAGTTACCCTGACAACCAGCTCTGTGGGTGACCAGAGAAGGCTTGAGTCTTGAGTGCCTTGTTGCTTGTTATGTTGTTTGTTAAGTGCTGTTGAGTCAGTTCTGACTTATAGTGACTTTGTATAGGGTTTCTGAGGAGTGGCTGCTGAGGTTGAACCATCGACTTGGGGTTCAAACTGACCTTGAGGTCTACTTCTTATCCTACAGCGCCACACCAGGGGGAAGTTATGTTGTTGTTGTTAAGTGCCATCGGGTCGGTTTCAATTCATAGCGACCCTATATAGGGTTTCCAAGGAGCAGCTGGTGAACTTAAACCACCGACCTCGCAGTTAGCCCACAGTGCCACACCAGGACTCCAGGTGGATGTTATAGAGCCTGTTAAAAATGCCATCAGCAGGCACTTAGGAAATGCCTCAGGCTGTGTCCCTGGTATGCAAATTGGTACAGGTCTAATGCCTTAACCTGTAGAATCCTAGAATCTCAGATTTGGGAGGGTATGCAGACACTAATAATCACCATTGGAGGCTGGGATCACCTCTTTATCTCAGAGATGAGCTCTGCTTGCTTCAATACATTCAGGCATGAGAAATTCACTTTCTCTTCAGGCAATTTAGTAGGAATGAACTGGGGCAATCCCATGAGTTAACCTCTACTTGCTCTTGGGATGCAAACTGGCACAGAGAAGACTGGGGGTCCTTGGCCCTCACCCCAGCCCCTATAGATGCCTCATCAGAAAGCTCTGTGAGCCAGGCCTGCCTGTGGGGTGCAGAGAGATGGATGAATCTAAATGGAAGAGACACACATAGCCAGAGAGAAGCTTACCTCATCGCCCACACAGTACTTCCCTGCTGTGCTCTGCAGGATTGTCTCCAGAGCTGTAGGGAGAACACATGGGTACAGAAAGGGGACATCAAGCTTGGCTTCCATAGTTATGAAATGGCAGCTGAGTGACAAGCTGGGCCACTCAGAGGGCATGTGTGAGAGCCAAGTCTCTAAAGCGTTGAAAGGGACGAGATGATGTTTCCCTGGATTCCTCAAGGCCAGTCACCATGCCCTTCCTTCAGAGTGGCCAGCAGCAGCTCTCACGCTGGTAGGAATGGCCATTTGCTGGCCTTGATCTCAGGAGTGGCCAGTGGCACTGAGGCTGGGCCAACTGAAGGGCGGGGGGCCTCAGACTCTAAGGTTCCCCAAAGTACCTAAGTTTGAGGCCAGATGGGAATGCCCATCCAGTCCACTGCCTCCTAGCCCTGCCCCCATCCTGCCCTCACCCAAGCCACAATCAAGACCTGGGAGGATATTTCAGATGACCGGGCTCCTGAGCATAAGGGGTTACTTCTCTGAGAGGCCACCTCAGAGCAAGTGGCAGAAGTAAGGACTCACCGGTAAAGCCAGAACTGATGGCCTTCTGGGCCCAGGTCAGCTGGTTCTCCTGACCCACTTGCTTCAAGATAGACAGATTCTGTGCAGCCAAGAAAAAGCTGTGATTGGCTTGGGGAGCCAAGTTGGACCTGCCCCCTTAGCTGCAACCCCTTAAGGGAGTTCAGTTTGTCGCCTGCCTGTGGCTGGGCACCTATACCCTTGAACTCCCTGAAGTCACTTCCTTCCACCAGAACCCCTGTAGTCTGAAAGTCACGTGACCTGAGAGATGTGCAAAGATGGGGCACAGGGCACTGCCATGACTGGAGCAGTGTGGCCATACCGAGGCCTACTTCCCTTACACCCAATGCTTCTCCCTTAGAGGAGAGGGACGGAGCAGGATGCAGGGTGGGGCAGGATGGGGTGGCACATAGGACTGACTTCTAGGAGCTTTACACCACTAGGAGCCATTTCACTTAGGGCTGCAAGTCTCTTCATCTGTAAAACGGGACTCTCTACTTCAGCTTCCTTTATTAAAAAGACAATGTGTGACATGTTGAGGCTCCCAGGCTCTGCCACTAATTAGCTGAGTGACCATGACCCACCAATCTGGAGCTATTTCCTCAGCCATAAATCAGTTAGCATCATTGAATTGTTTTAACACTTTATTTTTTGCTTTATTCATGAAAACTTTTTCCAAACTAAACCGTAGAGAATCCTAATGTATGATCTGAAACAGACAAAAAGGGTACAGCTCTGGGTAAAGGTGGGAGGCCTGGGCCCCAAACCTGCTGTTTTTCACTCACACCCTTTCCCCACCTTGGGTAGGCAAGGCCTTGGAAACAGCGTTTTCTGGATCACACTTTGGGACCCACTAGACTGGATGACTACTGTGCTCCTTCTTGTCTGCCATGTGGCCTAGGCCCAAGTCCCTGTGAAGCTCTCTCTGTCTTCCTGCCATTTCCATTCCCAAGCAGGAAAACTGCTGTGGACTTGCAACAGTCAGTGTGGGAGTGACTGAAGCTCAGAACACGTGAGGGGATGTTAATGTGTGAGGGCATGTCAGCATGAGGGGATAGGCGTGAGGGGATGTGAGTGTGTGAGGGATGTGTGTGTGTGAGGGTGTGTGTGTGTGTGAGGGGATGTGTGTGTGTGAGGATGTGAGTGTGTGAGGGGATGTGTGTGTGTGAGGGGTGTGTGTGTGAGGGGATGTGTGTGTGTGAGGGGATGTTAATGTATGAGGGG